AATAATTTAATTTTAAATAACAATAATTAACTATCATATAACTAAATAGTTATATTAATAAAATTTATTATTTAAAATTCGTTACTTATTATTTATTATTCACTATTTATTTTTCACTATCTATTATTTACTATTCATTAACCATCAATTACTATCTACTACTTATTATTACTATCCATTATTCCCTATAGGTTATTTAGGTTTAAGTACCATTTTAGTCCCTCAACTTTTCACTTTGGTATCAAAATTGTCCCTCAACTTTAAAAAGTATCAAAATTATCCTCAAACTTTCATTTTTGGTACCAAAATGATACTTTCGTCAGTTAAATGACAGGTGGCATGTTAAAATGCCAACAAATCAATTCTTTTTTTTTTTTCTTAACTAATGACATGGAAAAAAAAACATAGTTGGCAATTTATTTTTATGAGTTGGCATTCTCATTTAATTTAAAAATAATAGTTCTTTTTTTTTTTCAACCATGTCAAATTTCTTCTTTCTCTTTCATTTTCTCTCCTTTACCTTTCCTTTTCTCTTACCTCTGCAAACCCAGGTTCTGGGTTTTCTCAAACGGCCGAGAAGCTTTGGAATGTAGGCAGTGGTTATGATCGATTCGATAGACGAGAAGAAATAGTGTGTATTTTTCGTTGGGGGTTTCCTAGAAAAATTTTTAATAGTTAATTGTGATGAAACCCAGATCTGGGTTTGACAAACCCAGATCTGGGTTTCAAACAAACTCTGTAGAACTCTGCAGCATACCAATACCAATCACAATTTAGAAAATATCAGATGAAGATCTACCACAAAAGAAACGCACAAGAAACGCACCAGATGAAGAAAATATCTATAGCAATCACAATTTAGAAAATATCAAATGAAGATCAATCACAATCTATCTACCACAAAAGAAACGCACCAGATGAAGAAAATATCTATAGCAATCAACGCAAATTATAATTTTTTTTTGAAACCCAGATCTGGGTTTCAGAGAGGAAGATCTCTTCTCTCCCGTTGTTGGTTCAGCAAGCCTGAGAAAACCCAGATCTCTCCTCTCCCTTCTGTTCTAGTAAACGGATATATTCTGCTTTTCTCGTCCACTGCTCCACAACCACCTCCGGCACGAGTTCTACAACTAGGAACCCTCGCTCTTCTTCCTCCACCTCTAATACTTCCGGCCGCGAAGCCATCCGTGCCATCCGCCTCAAGAAGGTACCAGATATTAATCTCTCTTCAATGGTCTCCACAGGCTTGCTGGTTTAAAGGCCTAAGAAAACCCAAATTTGGGTGCAGGGACGGCAGACTGCGCAGCGGTTTGCTGTTGTTGTTCCTGCACAGTGATGGAGCTACTGGTGTTGGGGTTCTGCAAGGTACCTACGGGGCTGTGCAAGAAGGCGTGGAAGAAGAGGAAACGTCGACAAATCCTGAAGATGAAGAAGCAAGGGGTGATGGAGGAGGAAATAGGAAGGAGCTGGACGCGAAGGCAAAACAGGTGGCGACGAAGAGCCAACTTGGCATTTCGGAGGTGGTGGCAGGGGGTGATGGGGGGAGGAAACCTAGATCTGGGTTTGAGAGAGAACCCAAATCTGGGTTTGTAGAGTTAAGGGAAAAGGCAAGGTAAAGGAGAAAGAGTGAAAGAGGAAGACAAGATGATGTGGATGAAAAAATATATATCTCATTAATTTTAAATAAATAAAAAATGCCAACTCATAAAAAAATTAGCCAACTATGTTTTTTTTTTTTTCTATGTCATTGATTAAAAAAGAAAAGAATTGATTTGCTGGCATTTTAACGTGCCACCTATCATTTAACTGACGGAAGGATTATTTTGGTATCAAAAATGAAAGTTTAAAGATAATTTTGATACTTTTTAAAGGTGAAGGATAATTTTAGTGTCAAAATGAAAAGTTAAGGGATCAAAATGTTACTTAAACCGGTTATTTATTATCTATCAAATTTTAATATTGTGTTTCCATAACTAGCCATAAAACGTACAAGCTCCACTATGATATTTCTCTGTCTCAAGATAAAAGGATGGATAATGACAGAGGGAACGATTTTAAGAGATCAAAATGAAGAACGATAAATGACAAACTCAAAATGAAAAACACAAAATAACCAATTTAAACTTATCATCTAAGTCATCCTTTATTTTCGTACCATAAAAATCGTTCTCTTTATCATTATCTTAAAAGGAAATGGCTAACTCTATTTATGAGATTTCTAGCTGTTCCCACGATGACAGCAAATGTTTGGACCACATTGAACGTGTCAATTGTTCCTTGTGCGAGCTTCAGGCTTCAAAAGTCCTCACATCAGGCTTCAAAAGTACTTTCATAATGTGCACATAATATACTCATTTATTCTTTAACCAATATGGGCCAGGGCACCACAACAGCTTCTGGTGTATTGTATTTAAGTGCTTAAATTTCTAACGTTTAGACTTTCATCGTCCCTTTACTACACTATATAAAAGAGACAGCGATTAATACATATTTTAATTTAATATAATATATAATATATTTATTAAAA